AATCTATTTTATATGGATTAAACCAGCTTTAGAGAGTCATACTATACAAGCACACTATGGGTGTATCTCCACTGCCCAGAAAACCCACTCTCCCCACGTAGTCCTACTCTTCGTAAACTGCCTGCTAAAATGTGTCATGTACCTGTCATTAGTTCATGAGTGCACTTACAAGCACTTCAGGGCTTCTGCAAAGCACTTGACAAAATGTGACCGTTTGATACTTTTCTGGCCTGTTCAAAAGTGGATCAACTGAGTGGGTGGGGTATGCTGCCTAGCACAATTTTTTGCAATGTTGATCTGCCCACTAAAATTGATTCTCTCCCATATTAAAATTTTTTGATAAACTAAACAGAGATTAAACTGATTTAGTTGTACTTGATAGTTCTATAGCAAGGACTAAAGAATATCAGAGAGAAACAACTCATAATTGAAAACAGAGCTACTAATTAGTAGTGACAAATGATCAGTTTTACCAGTGAAATTAGAGATGCGGGAGCCCTGCTAGATTATCTGGTCCAGTGGGGGCCAATCTTTTTGGCAGCCATGCCACAAGGTAAGGTCCTCTTCCACTGGAAGCATACAGTCCCATCCAGCTTCCCTGCTCAATATGCTGCTCAGCTTTTTGTTCTCTGCCTCGTGCTTCTTGCCCAATCTGCTTCTCTGCTCTGTGCTTCCTGACCTGTGCTTCCTGCCTTATCTGCTGTTCTGGTCCTTGCTCCCTCCCTGATCTGTAGTGCACCGCTCGCAGAGGCTGCCTGTGCCACTTGTGGCACGTGTACCAGAGGTTGACTATCCCTTATCAGGTCCCTCCAAAGCTACCGTAATGCTGTCCACATTCAATATGTTACTGAGTGGGGCTAATTTAGCTTCATTCCTGATTTGTTTTTGGCTCATCATTCACATCCCTTCAAGTAAATCAGTCTAAATTTTACAAACGTGATCCTCAGGTTCCAGAATGTTTTAAACAAATTGGAGAAGGGATTTGGGGGAAATGAAAGTTCAAATTGTGAGGTGCATCAGTTGAAAATTCTCTTACTTTGTACTGTACAATGGGTTGGCCTAGAAAAACTTCAGCTTTGTTTGTGTCTGTTGGTTTTGGCTGAGACTTCTGCCTTTGGTTACTTCACGATAGATATAAGGCTATGAACGGTCTTCCTATTGGTTCTTAAGGCTTGATCTTGATTCCATTGAAATCCATAACCAAAAAGTCCTTTGACTTCACAGAGAGAAGGATCAGGCCCTTTCAGAGCTTGCAAACCTCTATCAAACAGACACAAGTTTCTGGAGGCTCGTGTAACATTCATGAGCAGTTTTTGAACACTGAATAATGCAGCTGCTGTTCTGATGCAGGACTCAGCAAGCCTGGGTTGGAGCAGCTGAGCCATATGGCATTTTGAAAGCGTGTGTGGCACTTATGGGCAGTTTGGGAAGCTTATATCCAGCTGGTTCAGTGTGCTGAAACTCTGCAAACAGGGAAGACAGGGAGCTGAGGAGTAAAGCTGGGGAAGAGACTTTTGAGTTCTAGTCCAATCTTTCCAGTGACTGATGTTAATAATATTCTGTAAACATTTAATTAGGCAGAGATTGAACTAATTAAGCATGATAATATTCTTATGAATTATGTAAGTGTTGCATATCCTTCTTTTGCAGCTGGGTAAGCTGAGGTTTGTTGCATTGATTTTAGACTTGTTTTGAATGGCCCATGGCTTTGTTGCACTCACACTAGAGATGAATTTGTCTGTACATGTTTGAGCTCCAGCTTTTCTGGAGGAAGACTGAACAGGAAGAAAATGGGAATGAGCACTGCGGCAGTAACAATGCATGTGATGCTATCTAAGGGTGCTTGTACATGCCATGGGGGTTTAGTTCTCCCTAGACTGAAACAGACACTTCTTTTTTTCTTCAATGAGCCTGCCCGAACTGGCTGCTGCCTGGTCGCACAGCCCCAGAGGTGCACAGGGCTCGGTGCTTACCTCCGCAGCTGCGGTGCCCCCCGGGACCTCCCAGGCCAGGTGCCAGCAGGCGTGTGCCACCTGAGGGGCACCACCACTGCGGAGGGAAGCACTGGGGTCTCCCACAGCTCAGGGACTGCTTAGTCCACTGGCAGCTCTTCCCCCTGGCATGGGAGAGGCAGATAAGCTCCAGTACCCCTGCATCGTCCCCTCTATCTTCCCACTGCCTGGGACCCCTGGGGCAAAGGCAGCAGGAGGCGGCAGGAGGTGCCTGGGTGTGCTGGCAGTGGGAGAAGGAAGCAGGGACGGTGCACGGCGTGCTGGAAGCCTGCCAAGCCCAAGCTTCTCTGAGCACATTGGTTTCCAATGCCCCATACACCATTGAACTTTGTTAGGTAGCAAACTAAAACCCCTCGGAGGGGTTTTATCTTGCTATGTTACAAAGTCATTTAAAGTGGAATATGATGCTGAACATGGAGACAGCAATGCCATTAAAGTGGTGCAAAAGGACATTTAAGCCACTTTAAAGGCCTGCATGGTCAAAGGGCCTAAGTATCATTTAGTATATATCTTTTCTGTAAACTGAACAGATGATAGACTGATAGCTCTCCTTTATTCTCCTCTTTCCTTTTTACTGCAGTTGGACTGCTGGAGTGCAGAGTTGGTATAGGAAAACTTAACTTACGCAATGCTTAATAATTTGCCTGGCAATTAGCTTCATTTAGAGGGTTAGGCATGGGACTGACAGCATGGGGGAACTATATTCTAATTGTGTTTGATTTGCTCTATAACTGGTTTATTGTCTGCTAATCTCTCTGTTCTATATTCCCATTTGTAAAATGGGGTTAATGTTTATTGACTACTTTTGAGGGGTGTTTGTATGCATGTGAGCAAACTAAATTTATGCAATGCTTATAAAATGCAGTACTTCATATGTACAGATTTGTTGTATATGTGTACAAACAAGGTTGCTCATGGAGAAGGCTATACAGGCAGTCCTCGGACTTGTGACACAATTGGTTCCTGAAGACCATGTCTTAAGTTGAAACGTTGTACCTTGGAACCGATTTTCCCATAGGAAATGATGTTATAAATGGGGGATTGGTTCCTGAACCAAGGTTTAATACCCTATTTTCACCAAAAATAACCCAGAATTTTGGAGACAGTCAATTATATATGCATAATATAGCTACATTAATGTATTTATATTGTAAATAGTAATCATATTGATTTGGAAGGACTTCTTTGAGGTGACTTTACTGAACTTTTTGAAGGGTTCTTGGCTGGAGTTTTCTCAGGAGTCTTGGCTGCAGGTTTTTCTGGAGTCTTGGCTGCTTTCTTAAAGAAGGTGTCCAAGGAAGTTTGGACAGATGTTCTCCAGGGAGATGAGCGATGCACTGAACTTGTTCACCGGTGTGGTGTGGCATTGGATCAAGCGTTGTAAAGTCAAAACTGACATCAGAAAGTTGAAACAGGGTTTCAATTTATAAATGTTGTAAGTACAAAACATTGTAACTTGAAACATTGAAAGTCAAGGACTGCCTGTATATAGATCTACTCAAAAAGTCTGTGTGGAGGAGTTACTGTCTGGGCATTACATACCACTATGAGATCAGTAGTCTTCTGATTTCCATTGTCAGTATAATGCTGTAACCAACTTACATTGTTAAAATATAAAGTTCAGGCAAACCTTCTGCATTGTCACAACCATAGGATGTAGTCCCCAAACTGTACTACATGCATAATTTTGTGTGTGTGTGTGTCTGTCCCAGGAGGGGAAATATATACATATAGTGTGATCTTTTCAGCATTCTGTGTTTTGATTGTCCATATATTCCTCCTTTTCCCTATAGGTTTCTGTGCCTTTAAGTAGACAGTAACAAAGGCCAGTGAATTCAGTTACAGAACACCAAAAGTTTAAGGTGGCAATTTTTATTCCTAACTTTCAAAGAAGACCGGTCACACCTGATTCATCTGAATCAGTTGGCAAGGTCATTTTTTACTCGAATTAAAAGAAAATTAAGATGAATAAATCAGCAGTACATAACGCTGTTCAGATTAGATACCCCTTAAGTCTGTCAGCTCGCCAGACATATGGATAAACTAAGCACAGATTAAGCAGGTCTGAGTTGGCATTAAAATCTCATTTTGGTGATAAATTTTGTAATACAAACAAGGGTAGGACACATATAATCCAGTCTGGTTTTATTTTCTACATGGTTATGGTTTGACCCCACTGGAATATTCCACATGCACTGGAAATTAATTCAAGATTTCTTAAGAGATGACAATAAGAAACAATACATAAGGAAACATCTCATTTTTGTTATAGATGTTGGAAGTATTATATGATGCATTTCCCTCAAAATATATGTGGATTAATTTTCAAAAGAGAATCATACTTTCAGCTCTCTCCATGTTCAGGTCTGTGAAGTGGCAAGCATGAGACACTTTAGGAGGCCTGGATTTTTCATAAAATGCTATGCACCCACTCTCTGAAAATCAGACTTTTTAGTAATATATCAAATTTAAACACCAAAAAAATCTCAACCTAGTTTAAAATGTAAAGGTGCCTAAGGGAATTAGATTTTCAAATAACTTTGAAATATAGAGGCAGTTTGGTGCCTGAGTTGACCTCATTAGGTCCCTTTGAAAACCCCTATCTTGGGTCCTGTATACCTGCTCCATGATATAGTAATATGAATCTGTACTATTATTAGCTTATCTTTGCTGCCATGTGTGATCAAATCTGTCTGCTGGTAGAAATGCCTATTGGCCTGTCTAAAGTTGCTCTAACTTGATGAATGAAATAGGTTCACATCATGATGCAATTGTTACAATAGTTTCTATGGCTCAAACTAACATGGGGCTTCTGTGACCTTTTCATGGTAGTAAGCTATGGTGGAAGTCCTTCAAAGATGTATAAATGAATATAGCTGCACTGAGGTCTAATTAAACCAGCAGAAAAGCTGGCCTTTATTGCTCATCATGTATAAATTGACATTTTCTTTTTTTTTTTATTCATTCATATCATATGTTTTTGTTTAGGACGCTGATCTGTATATAAACTTGAGCAGATGGATGAACTGTGTCACATGTGTAGTCAAGCTGCTGGTCTAAGAGACAAAGACATGAATATCCAAGGAAAGGTAAGAAAGGAAAGGATGAAACATAATGCTTTACTAGGCCCTTAGCATCATCCTGATATCTGTCATTCTAGTCTGTAAAATTTTGCTGAATGCTTGATGTCTTACTTTTGTCTTGTATGTTCATAAACTTCAAAGTGGCATTGTGGATTCAAGTACATCACAAATCATTCTCCACACTAGAGAGATAGCTGGTTGTACTTTCTTTTCATCTGTCAAATTTTGATTAAATATTTTCATGCAAAATATTTCTTAGTGTCCCCTCCCCACAATACTTCATATTTTCAATTAGCTTGCTAATTGTCCCTGCTGCCTTCCTGCCACTTGGGATCACCCGGGAACAGGTTGCTTTGTCCCTGGGGCAGCACAGGGAAGTGGCAGGAGGGCAGCTGGGTTTGCCGGTGGCTGGAGAAGGCAGCAGGGATGGTGCACGGTGCATTGGAAGACAGAATGACACATCTGGTATTCCCTACCCTGTGCTATAGTAACAACAGTGAAATGGATCCTGACTGAAAGGGAGGAAAGCCGGCAATTTCCTTGCTGGAGCTTTGACCTGCATTAGCCAATGCCACTAGTTTCACATTTATATGAGCACTGAATTGCAAACATATGGATCTATTATATAACTTAGGCCTACATTTTACCAAAGTGACATTATGCTACATATGTGAGCATTTGTCAACTGAAGGACGGTGTATTGCAAAATTGTGTTTATCTTATAGGCTTTTCTAGTTCTCTGAGTTATCACCTCACACGAAATACACTAGCAAAGATTCTTATCTAATTCAAAACACTGTATCAGCACAATTGCAAAGCATTTATATGTGCTGTTAGTGAAATTTAGACTTTGCAATCAAGATTTGGCTTTCACTGTGCAAGGCACCGTGCTTTATTTCTCTCAACTGCTGCTTTACTTCCTTCAGCTTCTTGTTTACACTTTGCAATGCCAGAAAAAATGTATTTTTGACTGCCTCCTTTCATCAGCTTTTAGACAGTGTTGCTCCAGGCATTTACAATTTTTTACTCTGGGACTGAGATAGAGGGGCATATTTGTTGTAAAAAGATATTAATTACTTTTAAAGCAAGCTGTGAAAGGAAATTATTCCTATGTTTATTTCTGCAGCAAAACTGATGGAAACAGCTTAACTCTCTTACAAAAATATTGTCTTGATCTCGTCATCTAGCCTTTTGTTCCTGCTCCATTCCCTGCTGTGCCCTCTGCCATACTCTTTTCATTTCTAGATGCAGCTAGTCCATTAGCATCTCTGCAACTTCATAAATAGCCACTTCATTTGTGACCTATGGGCATGATTTGGTGTCATTTAGGTGACACGTAGTGAATGAGTAGTCTTCAACTTAGAATTCCTTTGACTTGTGTTTTGAGTATTTATCTTTTTTTTTTTCATATCACTGTTGCATTCTGAAACACTTTGCAATGCTTCTGGCCCTTTAGTAGAACTGGTGACTTGGTCCCATTTCTTTGCCTCTGACGTGTTTTAGTTTTTAAGGACTAAAATATTTGGCCTAACTTAAAACCTTTGTGCTTGATATACATTTAACGTAATGTCCTGTGACATGCTGGAGGGTCAACTGTCATCTACTGGCACTACTGTCTATGAAATGGTGACACTTAAGATGTAGTATGCTGCTTACTGTGTCATTTTCAGATAAACTGCTGTAACTGTCTCAGTTCTGCTTGCACAATAGCATGCAACACAGCAAGAATGCATGATATTGTATCTGAGGATGTATCAGATAAGAGATGTTCAGTAGCGATAGGGAAGTATTGCTTCTTTTGTGTAATGCCGTGATGAGAACTGTTCCGGGATACTGTGTGCAGTTCTAGTCACCTGTGTTCAAGGAAAATGAACTCAACATGGAATTGGTGTAGAATAAGGCCCCTAATGTGATCCAGGGGGTGGCGATCACCTGTCTCAGGAAAGCAGACTAGAAGAGTTTGACTTGTTAAGCTTAGCACAGGACAGGTTGGGAAGTGATATGAACACTGTGTAGAAATGCGTGCACGTGTGTGTGTGTGTGTGTGCGCGCGCACGTGTTGGGGGGGGCGGGGGGGGCATAAAAACCAGAGAAAGAAAAAAACCTAGAAATTAGAAGGTTTTGTAACCACCCGAAGTACAAGGTGCCAGAACAGCATTGTAACAGAACTGCTGGGGTCAAAAAAGTCGCTAACTGCTTCTAAGATGGAGCTTCATAGAGCTATGTGGGACATATATATGACATGTTTGCCTGCAGTTGCAGCAGACTGGAAACAATTACCCAACAGACCCTTTGGGCAGTTGTACACGTGACAAAAATTGTCCATGTTTGAAGTTTAATTACATCACACTTTACACGTACAGGGTTTTCTTATGATTTAAATGAGTTTGTTACATTGCAAACTAAACAACATGCGCTTGTGGCATTGCAGCCTCTATCTACTTGTAACATCGCAGCCTTTAATGTTACAGCTCGCCCTCTGGTCATGGGAGAGGAGGGCTGAAAGCAGAAGTGGCGAGGGGCTTGATTCTTTTTCTTCTTCCTGTGGAGGCTGTCCACTTCTCCTGCAGTTGGGGGATGAGCCGCTGGCAGGTCAAGTGGCCCCTGAGCTGCGGGGTGTCCCAGTCCTTCTCTCTGCAGCAGTAGCAACCCCCAGGGCTGCCCAGGTGGGTTGCTAGCTGGGTAGATGCTTCCCCATTGGCACCCGATCCAATGCTTCCCCAAGCCCGCTTGCACTTCCAATGCACCGTGCACCATCCCTGCTGCCTTCTCCAGCCACCGGCAAACCCAGCTGCCCTCCTGCCACTTCCCTGTGCTGCCCCAGGGACAAAGCAACCTGTTCCCGGGTGATCCCAAGTGGCAGGAAGGCAGCAGGGACAGTGAACGAGGTGCTGCTTCCTGGGCGGGCTCGGGGAAGAGTTGGATCTGGCAGGTGCTGCCTCCAAGCTGGGGCAGCATCCATCCCACTAGCAGCTCACCCAAGTGGCCACAGGGGATGCAACCACTGTGGAGGGAAGGACTGGGGCCCCCTGCAGCTCACCCCTTGGCTGCAGGCAGACTCTGCCAAAAAACCCTAACAAAACAGTATCGGGCCCCTCACAGCCTTCCCATGCAAGTTGTCAGCAGGCTGAGTGGCCACTGAGCTGCGGGGGGCCCCAGTCCTTCCCTCCATGGCAGTGGTGCCCACCACGGCCACCTGGGTGTGCTGCTAGTGGGCTGGATGCTGTCCCAGCTCAGAGGCAGCACCCACCAGATCCATCTCTTCCCCAAACCTTCTTGGGAAGCAGCACCCCACTGTCCCCACTGCCTTTCTGCCATCTGGGGCTGCCCAGGAATGAGCTGGCTGGTCCCTGGGACAGTGCTGGAAAACTGCACAAAAGGCAGCTGAGTGTACTAGCAGTGGGAGAAAGCAGCAGGGATGGTGCATGGAGTGCTGGAAACCCGGGTGGGCTCGGGGAAGTGTTGAATTGGATGCCTCTGAGCTGGGGCAGTCCCCGGCCTGCTAGCAGCCCACCCAGGTGGCCCTGGGGGATGCCACCACTGTAGTGGGAAGAACCAGGGCCCCTGCAGCTCAGGGTCTGCTCAGCCCACTGGCAACTCACCCCAGCCACAGGAGAGGCAAGCAGGCTTTGCAAAAAATAAGAAGGAACGTGCCCCTAACAGTGACAGAAGCCCCTAAATTGAAATAGTGGGTTTTTAATCATCACAATTAAAAATGCACTGTTTCAATTTAGGGAACTAAACCCCCGTCATGTGTACAAGCGCCCTTTTGTTCCAATCTGACAGATGTAATGTGATATTATAATTAAAGAATGTATAAATGAAAAATGTTTTGTGCATATGTATAAAGAGGCACAAAATTAAATGTACATCCTTAATTGTGACTTTCTTGACCTGGATGTGTGACCTTTATATTATCTTGAAATAATGTTTTATAGGGGATATATCTCATATGTAGGTATTTTGTTTGGTGGGGGGAGAGGGGTTTATCTTGCTCATACCTTAAGACAATGTAAGGGCATGGCAAAGCAAAGAGAAACTTTTATTCTTAATAAGAGAATGCCATGGCTCTATTTTAATACATCCCTTAAGTTTAACACATCCTTTGAGTTTAACACCTTTAAACAGGGGCTTCCAGAGTAAATAAAATTCACTTGTCTGACAACAAATGTACCAAATAGTGTAAGTGTATGTTATAGGATGGTCTGAAACTTGCATTCTGAAGCATACATTTTTTACCTTGTTTATCTTTTTTGTTAGCATAGCAATAATATTGATGAATTTTCATTGTTCAGTTACAGAAAAATTACAGGAAACTCCCAAGGACAAAATCAAAGCAATAGTGAAGGGAGCCATTGTAATACACTAAAGGGAGACGCCAGACAACAGATATATGAACTGCAAGCTCGTATAGGTTGGGTTTCTCTTACAAACAGGAAGTGGTGACTGAAGAGTTACTATTTGCTTTGGATTCCAGTAATTCTGTAACATTTAAACAGAAAGCAGTAAGTGTTTCAAATATTTATAAGACAAATGGATAATTCATGCACAAATGTCTCTCTCTTTCCAATAGTTATTATATTGTGGTAATGTCAAGTTAATGGCAGTAGTCAAAATATTTGAAAAAGGGAATGAGGGAAGGAAAAAATCATTATTGGAGACTTTGCTGGAACTTGTTTTCAACTTGAATAATTTTGAAGTAGAGACCTTTACATTTTATATAGGATACAACAGAGAATCTTTAGAAGATATTTCTTATCGCTTCATTTTAATATTATAGAATAGAGTTAAGTTGGGTGTAATATATTTATTATGAAGGTGGAGTCTGAGACCATGAATTGAAATGCCGGCTGTTGAGAAAGGAATATGAGGTCTGGTTCAATGTCTTTTGAGGTTAATTGGGAGCCTTTCCATTTACTGCAGCAGGCTTTGGATCAAGCTATTAATGCCGCTTGTCTCCAGTTACTTACTATACCTTGAAGTGAGGTATAGTGATGACAGAACCTGATGTGTACATGTGTAAATATGGAAAGGCAGTCAGTGTTACTTGGCATATGCTAAATAGCCAAAGTTCCCTGACTATTGAAATATAGCGATTGAAGGTGAAGCATAGATTTTAAAGAAAGAGTTTTGTTAGGAAAAAAAAAAAGCAGGGTGGGGGGGTGGGGAGGGAGGGACAGGGATTTAATCCCATACCAGAACTAAACAAAGAAGCTGTATAATCAAATAAGAACTATAAATTGTTAAGGAAAACGGGCTCCAGTTTATTAGATTCTTGCAGTAAATTCAGTCTTTGATTTATAATCTCACCTGCTACTCTTTCAAAATGCTGAGTTATATTCCTGTGTCTGTTGGGAAAATTACTTCACATAATATGATTCTCCATCAATTGCAACAGTAAACTTGATTAAAATAACATCTGGGAAGGAAAAATAAGATTCTGTGTACCTTATTCTTCAAATTTGTTGTATTTGATAACACTCATAAATATGCCATGAGCCATGTTGTCTTTTATTTATTTCCTTCTTATGTCCCATTTTTATATTTTTAAATACGTTGTCTTTGCTTGTGTCACAGAGCTGGAAGCCTGTGTATAGTTCATTGCTCTGCAAATAGTTTTTATTTACTTAAAAACATATTCTCTATGGCGACAAATCAATTTTTACTAATTAAAATAGTTTATTCCTCTTAAAAGCAAAGCTAATGTTAACCAGCTACTGTTGGAGAAAAATGACTTTAATCTCATGGACAACATTAAACATAGGAAAAAAGAAACAAATCAATAAAGGTGAAGGTCATTGAAACAAATGATTAGAACAAACAACCAGGCTGCCTGCTGTACAATAAGGTTATAAAATAAACAGAAACAAAAAGCTTATTGGAATACATCAAGTGTGAACTTTATGAAGAGGTTCCTCTTCAGAATGCTGAATAGTCAGATTTATCTCCATAACTTTTTCAGTGTGACCTGCTATGCTATAAACTAAATGAAACTCTGGGAAAAGATTGATGAATCTTCAATGGGTAATGTGCCAGACTGTGATTGTCCAGAAATGCCCTGTACTACTAGGTCCATGACATGAAACACAAATCTACAGATACCTCCGCAATGGACAACCTTTATACAAACCTAGTGTATAATCTGTAAAATACCTACCCAAATGTTTTTCTTGGTTGTTTTTTAATGTTTCAAGTAGCCATAATGAGTGAGGATTCAGGTTATATTCTGAGTTTAGCAATCCATTTGGAGAAATGGCTTGATGTGATTAACTGTTCCCTACCAGTCATTAGTCTTCAGAATCTGTCTTGAGCCTTGATCATTATTGATTAAAAATGACACCCTAGCTTCCTGCAATTGAACTGTGTTCATTTATTTTCAGAATCATTTGTCAATGGCAGGTCTCAGTGAATCAAAATGGAAACAAATAATAATATGCTGTCACTTTTTTTAAAGTCCCCATATTATGTAAATGAAACCAAGCAGGCCAAGACTTTTAAACTTTGGTACTTAACTTTAGTGTCTACAATCCATATTTAGGTGTCTCCGTATGTTCTCTGATTTTTTTTGAGAGAACCCCAAGCAACTTTTTGGCACTTTTGAAAATCAGACCACCAAAATCCTGGTTGTTAAATTGTGCCCAGATTCCAAGTCTGAAAACATCAGAGTAATGCCATTACTTTTGGGTGCTCCCAGCACATTCAGCTTTGGGATGGGATAGGGCACGGGTTCTCTTTAATCGTGGTGACCTGTAATGGCCCAAACCAGGTGGAAATCTGGACAATTCACTTGAGCAAGAGTGATAAGAGCAGAATTGGAGGTTTCATTCTGCAATGTACCAGATAGCAATGAACAAAATGATTAACTTAAAGCTGTAGGCATCAATCACTTTGAAAAGAGGCTGTTTGATCCTTTCTTCAGAGTCCAATCTGACCTGACATATGCTTGACAACATCCTTTCATTCTGCTGAGGTCCCTCACAATCCTATTCCACTACATCACTAATAAGGGTAGCAACAAAAAAAGCATAGGATCAATAGAGGGGGGACTATTTAGAAAGATGGAGGAAGAAATATTCATTTAAATTTGCTTTTCTATTGAATTTTTTTTTGTCACCAGTGCAGAGAACAGCACATGAATGGAGTGAATGGCATCTGCAATTACCTGCCAAAATAAATAAGTAAGGAGAGACTCAGCATTATCTTTCATTTGAAATGTCAGTTCTTCCCCATCCCCCCACATACTTTTTATGGCAACTGGTATAAAAGATGAGATGACTGCTTTTATTCCTGACCAAAGGGGAGAAGAAATCTAAGGAAACAAAGGTTTATAAAAAGCATTCTGTGCTTTTGTGGTAACAATGAAATTCATCTATAAAGAATTGTAGGTAGCGAGAGTTTATTCTGGCTCCAGAATTTAATTAGACCTGGTGCAAAATGTCCTTCTCTTTGCTGCAGAACTTGGACCTGAAATGCTGTTCAGTTTTAAGGTTTGGGTTATGCTGTATTCTGGGAGTTCACTATGAGTCTGACTGTTCAGTTAAATTAATCCATTCTATATATAAAGCTGTAGATTGCCTCAGGTATGGCAAAACCATTTTAATTACACTATAAAATCAACATTGACTGGGATGCATATTAGATTAATGGAATAAAGCCAAATGGGATATCATTTTTTCCCCAAGTAAGCATTTCCAAGAGTTTTATAAAAATGAGGGAGCCCTTACAGTAGGTTCAAATGCATATGCATCATAATGTGTTTATAAATCACTGCTCTAGTCTTGACCCTCCTAGTATTTGGATTAAGGATTATTATATAAATTACAATTCAGACTGTTGCCAAAGATGTCACAGTAGACAAAGCCGTAATAGATGAGGAGCCGCTGCATAAAGAGCGCCAGATTCTCAGATGGGTGTAAATTGGCATATTTCCAGTGGTATGTTTTTTTCAGGCACCTATAGTCACTTCTGTCCACCTAATTGCCTCAACGGTGGGCTCAATGATTTATTTAACTTTTCAGTAAAAAAAAAAAAAATTACTAGTCCTATATCAACTTAAATAAGTATTTGCAGTGGTGCTATTGCGTTGACAGTTTGTCATAGCCAGCTTATCTTTCACTGGCATATAGTGCTCATATGGTACAGGAGAAGAGCATTTGATGACTTGTTGATATCTTAATTCTTCTGTGGCAATGTATATTGTTATCTATCCATGATAATCTCTTTC